TGTCACTGAAGAGGAAGAGACAATGGCACGGGAAGGGGCTCAGGAACTGAATTGAAAGTTGAACTTTAGAACTCAGGAAGGAGTCAAGAGAGTCCACAGGGAGGGGGTGGCATTTCAAGCATGTTCCTTCATTTAGACTTCTCTGGAGGGCTTTGACTCACCTTCTGAAGGCCTCTAGTTCTGCCCACACAATGTGTCAGGAGCCTGCCTTATGCTAGATTTTGGGTTCTGCTTTATCAGCCTTCAGTTTGTGCCCCCTCACTACCAAAGCTGAGGGGTATGTAACCCACAATGTTAGGTTCCTGAGGAGCCAAAGCCTAAGCTCATGAAGGTGTAGTAAATAACGTGTGAGACTTTTACCAAAATCCGCTTAGGAAGTGCTTGTGAGACTGCGTTTTCATTTCCTCTTTCAGATTGAGTGCTCTCGCAATGCGTGATGCAGAAGTCACTGTGCCTGCTCTGCTTCAGAGACTCCCTCAGCAATGCCCCCTGCCATGTTGTGAGGAAGCCTCCCTTGTGCTGAGGTATCTGTTCCTGGGAAGGGAATTACTTCACCTCCAGGCTGAAATGTGTCTGGACGACCTACCTGATTTCCCCTATACTGCCCAGGAATTCGGGAAAGCAAATGGTCACATCCCGGTTTTCCCAACACACATCTTGACCACATACATTTTTCCTGCCTCCCTTTGAAAATGATACCAAAAAAGAATTAGGCTCTTTTTTTACAAAATAGGTGCATTTCTTCTTGTGTTTTGCTTATATGTCTGTTGCAGTGATCATCTGGGACAGAAGAAAGGCTTGTAGGGTTAAAGAGTGTCATGGTTTACTTCCTGAGCATTGCACTTACCACATTATCCGATGCAGACCAAAATCTGAGCTGAGTGAATCTGAGAACTAAAAGGAAATCAGGCAGGGGGGACAGGAACAGCATCCTTCCTTAATCTCAACCCCCTTCCTAACACCAGCAGCTTCTTTTTTTCTCCAAGAGGGACAAAAAGCAGTGGATTAAGAAAAAATGTGACTTTTCTTGTAGATTGACCCATGTCAAGACCCTGGGTAATGTTATTTTACATAATTTCTTATAAACCCTTAATTATTTGTGGTTTGAGACTTTATTTTTGCTGTCAGCCTACTTCTCAATGCAAAAATAAATTGCAAGCCTTTGCTCCACCCCCATAAATATTTTCTGCAACAAGTTGTTTGTTTCTGAAAGTCACAGATAATGACTCATAATGAGTTTTTGAAAAAGGGAAGCAATGTATTTTTTAATGTATTCACTATTCTCTCACAGCCAGATGTTCCCCTTCATTGCACAGCATGAGGAGGTGGAAAGGAGCCAAAAAACTGCGGTAAGAAAGACAAAAAACTCCCAAAAGCCAATCCAACAAACAACCAAGGATCAAGAGGAACAGGTCAGGTGTCAATTTTACATCTAACTTTGTAATTACCTACATGTGCATGGAGCTGAGGCTCTTTTGTTGGAGTTCCAGGTCTCTTAGAAGTTAAATAATGGATCAAATGCATGAAGCATGTGTGTTACTGAGAAAGATCTCAAATAAATAAAATTCAACTATTTTTGGGAAGTTATTGGGTCAAGATAATTCAGGAAATGCAGTGGAGGGAAATGAGTGGAAATCAAGACATGTTAGAACGCATCTCTTACTCTACAGTTTTGGTTTTTTGCTGAGTTCACTCAGTTCAAAAGTTGTTTATGAAGTATTTTACAGATGGATGCACTATTTCCAAAATGCAAACTACTTAGCCAGATGGCTTCACATCTGGATTAATCTCAGCATGAAATAGAGAAGAGTAGTTGCATTTTTAAGTATCTGCTCTCCGTAGCAGACCTAAAATTGGTGATGATCACCAAAGACATTTATATCAGTATAATTTGCAAATAGTATTTATTTCTCTACTTCTGACAGTTCTGAATATTTCTGATGGAAACATTTCAGAATATTTGGGTGTCTGATTTGCTTTATCACAGTTGCAATGGAAACTTATTGCCTGATTGCTTAGGCTGCTGTTGGGAAACCCAAACCTAGTTAAAAACCAGATGAATAGATGTTTAATGTGAAAATGAGGAAACACAAGTTCTCACATAAACTGGTGAAGCGCTGAAGCCCCTTATTCAAAATCTTGTCTCAAACTAAAAGGAAGATTAAAGATTTGAAGAAGATAGGATTCCCAAAGTGCCTTCTGTGAGCTCTCCTTAACTTCATCACTGTTGATAATCGACTGAATTAATTTCATTTTGTAGGGAAAAGAGACAAATTGATTCTCCAGCCTAAGCATGTTTACATAGGCTATATTCTTTTTATTTTTTGGCACAAACTGCCTTTCATCTACACATAAATTGTCTTTTTGTTTCCTTTTTGCTTTATCTTGTAAATTATTCTGTTGGTTTTTAATCTTTCTTGGAAGCAGTATGACTGTATCTTGGAATGCATGGTACTGTCATAATGTTAATGTGGACCGATTCATTAGCTGTCTTCATAAAATTTCCATCCTGCAATGAACATAAAATGCGTGGCATTAGATCTGGATCAGGCAGTCTGTTGCTACTGCTTCATGGTTAGACATGGTTAGAGATAATTTCACTGAGCCCAAAATACTTGCTGAAAAGGACTTGCTTTCCACTTCTGTGCCTCTGGGTTTCAAGGCTGCTTGGGAAGCCAGTGCTTGTGCCTGAGGACCAGATGTTCCACTGCACTGGTCATCCGGGCCCTTCGCCTCCAGCTCAGGGGCAGCTCTCCTGCTGTGCCAGTGCGCTTGGGCTGCTTCAGGAGAATGGCACAGAAGTGCCCTCCCTGCAGTCTTATTGCCTGATCAGACAAAGTGGAGAACCTCTTGTGCTGATGGATCCTAAAGTGTAGATCATAGACACCTGAAATCCTGAAACTACTGTCACAGTTTTGCTTTCAGTGTTGTGGTAGTTGTGGCAGTAGCTGGAAGTGATGCGGATCTGCCCAGCTCAATTCGTCTGGGAAAGGTGGGAGTCTCAATGTCTGTGGTGCCTTCACCTGCTCAGCCTCCCTTTGCTGGTAGAAGAGAGGACATATAGGCTGATAAAATGATACTACTGATCAATCCTGACCAGAACTTCAGAGGCATCCTCACTGAATTACAACAGAACCATGCGCACCAAAGTTGAATCAGCCCGAAGTGCCTGCCTTGGGTTTTTGCACAAAGTCACTTAGTTAAACATGCACCCTCTCCTCTGTAAAGACAGGGCCATATTCCAGGGAGGGCCATATTCCAGGTAGCAGAAAAATCCCGAATGTCATTCTGCTACTGGAGTGTGATTAGCACATAGCCATGCTGGGCAGTTGTTGAACTGCTCCTTTTCTCCTCACACGTACTGAGCTGCTGGGCTGGGCTGTGACATTAGCCCCTGTAGCAGGGAGGAGGCAGCTGCAGGAGCAGCAGAGTACAAAGAGAAAGCTTTCTGCAGCCTGGAGGGTTTGCCTCCCTCCCCCATCTACAAGGTTTTTACATCTGCTCCTGTAGTCACCAAAGACAGAAAGATATAGCAACCCACAACAAACCCACAGAGGCAGAGCTGTGAAGCTCTCCCCAGAAAGCTGACTTACGCTAAACCTCTCCACTCCTTCTCGTCACTCTGCATCTGGCTCTGCTGTGACTGCTGCCTCCAGATGAACTACACCCAGTTGCCAGGACTGCTTTGGCCTGTAAGCGCAGGTGTCTCTGGTTACCTTTAGGGCTTTTGGATTTTTTGTCTTCTCAATTATATAATTGTTCTAATTTGCTGAAAAAGAAGTCTATCTGAAAAAGCCAGGAACACAGAACACCACTCTTCTTTTTTTCTTCCCTTATCTCGTCTAGGATAGTTGACTTCTTTAACGTTCATTTTCAACAGCCTCTTTCAGCTTCCTGCCTCTGGTGAGTTCATTGCAATTTTTTTTCCTAAGAGTCTTAATGTGAATTGATATTCTGAATCAAATTCAATATATTTTGGTTTACTTTTGTTAATTGCTTTTATTAATAAGTTTGTGAAATTGGTTCACATAATCAGTTTTACTTTTCTGCTAAATACCATCTGTTAAATGCTTGGTGTTGAGATATACAATTACACACTGGCCTATATCTCGCATTTTCTGTATTTTCATTTGTTCCAGAGTTTTTTTCCACCTCAGCATAAAAAGGCCTTATATAAAGTAGAAAAAGGGGTGTGAAAATTTTCTTCCATGTTAACTGATATAAGAAAAAAGAAAAAATGGGAGTTACTCTCAAGATGGTGGATCTGATTCTGATGCTCTTTTCTGTTGTATAAACCATGAATTCAGGAGTGATCGACATGTATAATCTGCATTTCAAACATTTCAAATGATGGTCTTCTTCCCCATTTGTGAAGTACATCATGCTTCTGAGGAAACTGTTCTGTTTCATCTTAAATGTTCCCAAACAAATTTAGGTGAAGATTTTATTATGAGAATTTGAGAAACACGTTCTTTGGAGTGGAGTGAGATTCAAAGTATTTTTAATTTGACCGCTTATCTGTGGTTGGCTCTGGCTCCAGCAGCTGCCTGGCCCTGCTGGGTTTAACAAATGCCTGTGCCACCTTCTGAGATGGAGGATTTCCATCTAAATGGCCACATCTGTAACTCTGTGTTCAGGTCACTCCCGTGGCTTCTTCTCTGCTTTGTGATCCAGCTGTGGCATGTTTAGGGTATGGAGTCCCCTTACAGAGCAGTATGTGTGTATATGCATGTGTGCACATCTGTGCACACCCATTTCCAGATTCTCCTCACAGACCCTGCATCTTCTGATGCTCTAGTGTGATGGAATGGTCTTGTCACATTGCCAATGAGATGCAGTTAATCTGAAAGGTGAATGAGGATAAAGCACATTGAGGCTGGAACCATCTCTCTGACACAAGTCCCTGCAAAAAATCTGAATGTGGATTTAAGATTTTATAACTTTTCATTTCAGCTGTGTTTCCACCTTTGGATGGGCAGGAGTTGAGCTGTGGCATCTGGCAGAAGCCAGCTTTAACGTGGGATTTATCCTGAATATAATACTTGCAGAAGGAAAATGTAGGGTAAATGAGATAACTTAGTTGTTAACAGTCATATCTGTCAGCAAATTTTGGTGTCTGTTGCTGTTGGAATAAGGTGGGATTGTGCTGCTTCATATTCCACATTTTCAACCCCACCATTTATGTCAGTGTTTGTGGTTTTCCAGTAGGAAGAACCATATGTGTATACTTACTTGACTTTAGAATGGGATTTGATATAGTTTTTCTGATATAGTCTGAAGATCTGTAATACAAATGGAGTCAGTTCTACCAGAGAAAGTGGGTACAGACTTCATGTGAATACTGTTTGAGATTTGGGCAGTAACTGCAGGGTCAAAAAGCCACGTGTGCACTTGCTTCCTGCTGAAGTTAGAGAATAGTGAGGCATAATACCAAGTTTTACATTCCCCAGATTGGGTGCTGCAAGCCAGGAAAATCTGTAGGTTTGTAGTTATAGAGAATAGGTGTTTTTATAAGTAATCTGTACTTACTAAGTTCCAGAGTAAAGAGTTAAATGTAAAAATGGATTTGATTTTCATGTATAGCAAGATTCACAGGCCATCAGCAGAGCAACATGACTGTAAATTACTGTAATTTAATCCCATTTTAAGATAATTTTACTGTGCCAAAGCGGTGGGAAATAATCTCCTGGCAGAAGAGCATCAGACCTCAAAATGGAGAGACCGGTGCTAAAGTCACATTGCTGGTAACAACTGCTAGTGCTAGTGATGTTAGGAAGTAATTTCTTGTACAGTGAGGGGCAAGCCATATAAATCCTGAGAGAAGTGAGGGGGTGATGTGCAGCACACCCAGAGCACAGGAAGTGAGCAGCCAGCGTGGTGGTGGTCATGGGCTGGCCTGTTTTGTAGAGCAATGGGTCTGTACCAGCGGAAGTTCCCAAGGAGCTTTTCTTGGTGACACTTTCTGATAACCAGACAGGAGGACACCAGGCAGGGAGATGAAATTCTGCTGTTCCTCCTCTTGCTTTCACTGTGCAGTTCTAGATGTATAATAGCAGGTGAGTTAGGCGCTTTAATGTAAAAGATTTTCTGTGAAAATTACCTCTTAACCCCCCCCATTTTCTTTGTGAAATTTTGGTGCTGTGATTAGTTTTCACTAAGAAACAGTAGAATGTTACTGAATGCACCATTCAAGTGATTAATTTGATTGACATTGACCATAAAATGAAAAATTGGAGATTTTTCTATAGTGCTTTTGATTATTGTTTGCAAAGAGATAAAATAAGTTACTGTAAAACTTGCCTTTTTCAAAGTCTTGGTGTAACATTTTAGACATCAAACCACACAGCTCAACATCATTCCCAAATTAAGTTCTCATATTTTTGGCTAGTGGTGTGTGGTTTTATTAAATCTACAGTTTTCAAATGTTTCCATGCTATGACACAACTTACAGCTGAAAAATATTTTGAAATAACCCCAGCACAACAATTAAGAAAGGAAGTTGGCTGCAGCTGTCTCAAGCCCACTATTAAAGCATTATAGCCTTAAGATGCTGGGCAGGATCACAAAAACACAACAAAGCAATGTAACAACAAAATTTGTGGGCTGTAGCCTACCATTAGCTTTTCTCCACAAAACCAAGTAGAGTTTCCTATTTGCTTAGCAGGATTTAGTTGTCCTTCAATGTTTATGTCAGTGAAGAACTGGAAAACCGTTCCAATGCACCAGATGGATCAGTGTACAGTGGAAGGGGAGGTTTTGGAGCCTGCAAAACCTCTGTAATGCAGAGTGTGAGTACTGGAAGTCATGGCTACAAACCTTGGTGTATCAGGTCTAAATGAGCAGCTGGCAAAGTGGCAGGGAGCGATAGTCCCAGCAGTCCCAGTCTGTCACTGCTGTCAGGGCGGCTGGAGGATGGGGGCAGCATGGTCTGAGCACTTTGTGCGCACATGCACGTCCTGCAGAGCGGGTGTGCGAGTGGCTCGTGCCCAGCCTGGCTTGTGGCCATGCCCTGTGTTTATCACAGACCCTTTATCGCTCCTCCCTGCACAGTTCCTGCTGCTGTGTCAGCTCCCTGTTGCTTTTGCACGAGCTATTGCATTTGCTCTTTGGTTACAGAAGCCAAGGAGAAGTGTAAATTGCTAAGGGATGAGGGTGGGGCTGAACTTGGCATGCTTCTCTTTACCTGACAAAACATAGGAACCTGCTGGAAACCACACGAGGATTGTGCTATGGTTTGGGGATTTCTCTACGGGGAGCCATAGTGACCTGTCATGTAGGAAAGACCCAGCATGTGCTGGAAAGGGAGCAAACACCTCTCCTGGCAGAAGCTGGCACAGTGGGCTGTGGTTACATACTGTGCATGATGCCGCTTCTCACACACAAGCGTGAGTACCAGTAACTGACACTTGCCAGCTTGAGGTTGTTGTACCATCTGGTGATACCACTTCTCCTCATGAGTGACAGTGTGTTGCTTTTGAAGGTTAGACTGATTTATGTCAAAATGTAGGTATCACTGTCTCTCCTAATATAAAAGCATGAGACTAAGACCCCTGTGTAGCCGGGGGTCTCTTTTAGTTGTTTCCTGTGCCATGGTCATTGAAAGAATATTAAATTTTTCAAACTTGCAAGAAAACTGTTCTTTCCTTTCATTGATAGGCATGCCAGTGGACACAGTCTTCAGCTTGTCTCTTTTATTTCCATCAAAAGACTGTGCTTAAAAACCGGTAAAGACTTTGGAGTTTGAAGTTATTGAGCTACTGATATACCCAAATATCTATTAATTAACCTATCTATTAATTATCTAGATAATTAGGTAATTAGATAGATAATTAGATCATCTGTGAGCTTTGTTTTTCTCACTGTAAAAATGTATTATGAAACAGCTGTCGTAAAACCCCTTCATGTAATTTCTTTGTTTTCCATCAATTTAAATGTGAGTTTTTAAATTCCCCTCTCTTTCAGTGGAGGTTTAATTCTGGATGAAAAGCTGTTGGGTAAAGTATCTCAGAGTTTGAATCAAGTCCATCAGGATTCAAAAATAAAGCATGGGAAATGTTCTCATAATGTTCAAACATCTCTCTCCTAAAATATCTCTCATTTCATATGTGTGATCATATTCATTCAAAATATGTAAAAATCAAGAAAATCAAGGAAAACTTTCTATGCTTCCCACTGAAGAACTCTGCAGTAAGATTTACCGTAGCATGGGGATTTGCATGATCTTTAAACCAACTGAAAGCCAAGTGGATGTCAGCTATAAATATATGAAATGGCTTCTCAAAATACTCAGAATGAGTGAATGAGTGAGAAGGATTTATGCTGAAGAATGAGTGAGAAGGATTTATGTATTACATTTGGTTGTAGAGTCTTTTCTCCTCTTAACCTATTCCGTATGACCTGCTGCTGTCTGCAGTATCATATGTTTTATATAATGGTGGCAAGAGAACAGGATTGTAATGGAATCAGAGGAAAGTAAAGGAAAACAGGCACTAAAACATATTCTGCTCTGGCATATGGTTGGTGTAAGATATAAATCAATATAAAATCTGAGCTACCAGGTATAACTTGTGCTAATTCCAGAAAAAAAAATTTAAAAAGAAAAGAAAGCTTGTTCCTTTGAAATTGGGCTTTAATCATAACTATGCATGGAAGGTAGGCAGTTTGATGAAGGCATGCCCATTTTTAAATCTAATTTTATCTGCTTCAATTAACGAATTCTAGAGAGGCTGCATGGTAAGAAAAAAAAAAGGTCCTGTTTGTATAATGGATATGTATTATTTCTTATTTTATCTGTGTGCTGGATATAGTGCGTGAATACTAAGTCATGGCATAGATTGTGGAAGACAACTCCTTTTTAAAAATGTATTGAAAATATCAAAAATATAAAAATCATAAACCAACAAATGCAGAACAATTTATGATAATTGTATGTTTTATACTTGAAAAGTATTTGAAATTATTTCAAAGCAATGTCTTCAAATTTTTAACATTTTTATGTACATGTGTGCACACACAAAATTTAAGAACGATATTAAAGATGGCAGTTTCCCCGCTATGTGAAATCTGGACTATGATTTTAAACACTCTGATGTATACAGAGACAAGAAAAAGGTTTTTGTTGCTAGCAATCCTAAGGGGAAAAAGCTAAAATTATCAGGGAGTTTCTGTTTTATAAAATAAATACCAAACCAAATTATTGTTGCTTCTTTTGCTAGCTTTGCTCACGAACGTCCGAAGTTTGATGTTCATCACAGCAAAAGGAATGGTGACATGCAGTAAATATGAATTCTTCCTGAATTAAAAACAAATCATTATGTTTTAGCAAGAGGTCATTATTGTGTATTGTTTGATCAACATTATTACTACTCAAAACACCTGTACATCTAACACTTTATTCTTCTCACAAAATATACAAAAATAATCTTCCACTGGCTAAATCTGTTCTAACATTTTCCTTCTCCGTCTTTGCCTGCCACTAAAATCAAACCTGTGCAAATACATAACTTAATGAACATGGAGAACCTCCTTCTTCTCCCGCTGATATTAGAGGGAGAAGATCTAGGCTTGAGAATCTCCTTATTTTATGATAGATATTTTATAAAATCAGAGCAAAGTTCAACTTGAAGAGACTTCTGAAAGTAAAGTTGGAGATCTTGCAAGGGATCCATTGAGGAAAATGGAGAAATGGCGGGACAATTTTTAAGGATGTTTTAACATTGAGGAGCATGTTATATCACTTGTAGCATTCATGTATTAGCTTTTAGCTACAGTGTTACTGTTGATTACTTTGTAGCATTTAAGGGAGCCAGTCAAGAAGATCAAGTAGTGTGCAAACAAGGGAGAGGAGCACGGTCATACCACAGGTTAGAGCCAAAACTCACAGAAGTCAGCCTTCTCCCCTGCACTGGGCTTGGCACAGGCTCTGAAAGAGGGGAAGCCCTTTTGACTGCAAATGCAAGTGTGAATATGGAGATACCAGTTTGTTTTAATGATTTATCGTGTCACTCATCTGCAGGATTTAATATATATCCATGCGTCTCCTTAACAACTTATTGTA